TGATAAAAATAATATTATAATCTTAATTAATTAACAAATTAAGCTATCTTAATTATTTATCATTAGTTTTGATTAATTATAATTTAGTCCATTTAAGGATTTAGTTGAGTAAATTGTATTGTAAAATAATTTAAATATAAAACTTAATTGAAAATTTTGTAAAGTTTATGAGGTTAAAGTGTAATTTTTCACAACTACATGTGCTACATAATTGGTGCCAATAAGTATGTCATGGGATTCCGTTAAAAAAACTAACTGCTATTTAAAGGATAGATGAATTTGAAATGATTTTCAAAATTTGTAGATGATTTTGAAAGAAATTAAACTTTCTAGACTAAAATGAGAAGAGAGTAATAGTTCATATATGAAAAATTAAATTTAGCCTTTCTTTCTGTCTCATAAATGTGTTACATTGGAATTATCTTGGGTTGAAAAATAGACCTGTGTTTTAAGGGTATCAAATTGTATATTTTATAATTGATTTATAAATGAAAAAACTAGAAGATGCTTTAAATTTATAAATTATTTAAATAAAATTATTTACATGATATTAGTGTTTAAAATAATATTTGTTTTTATATTTTTTTATTAAAATTTATTGTAAAAGGTTGTAACTAATGCACTCCCAATTGGTTGGAAAAATATTTTTAATCATTATATATCATATGAAAAATTGTAATGTATTTTGATAGTATGACATAAATTATTAGACAAGTTATAATTTGAATTATATAGTACAAACTGTTAGATGATTGCCTTTTAAAAAGTCCATTCATTTTTACTTGAGGGTTGGTTATATAATTTGATTATATAACAAACTATTAAACAAATTACAGTCACATAAATTACTGGATGAGTGTCTTTAAAAGAGTCCATTCATTTTTAAATGATGGCTGGTGTTTTACAATCATACATGTAGCATTGCTAAGAGGGGAATAGAAGACCTATATGATAATCAAAACATCGAACAACAGTTACGCTTTGTTCATTACTTTGTTTTTTCATGTATAACATTAAATTTTTGATTAAACCTCTAATTTAATCTTTTAATTATTGTACAGACCCTTGATACGTGACTGTTAAATAATGATATTGTACTATTAAGTAATAGTTTTCTGTCATTAAATAACGAACATATCAGTTATTTTTTAATAAAAGGACTAGGGTCAAATTGGTAAACAATAAAAACTAAATCAAAGATTTTTTTTAGTTTAAGAACCAAATTAGAGGACTTATACAATAGTTAAGGGACCAAATTAAAAGTTTTAACCTAAATTTTTCCTTCAATTTGACTAATTCCACATTAATTCATAGGCACCAAGCAAGGAGTGGTTATTGCCATGTATTAATTTGTTAAAGTCATATAATATTGTTTAAAAGCATTGATTTTATTTGATTTGATTGTTAAAATAGTTAATAATTAATAAAATAATTAATATTTATTATTTAATAAATTAAAATTCATTTATAAACTAATATTTTTAAATATCATAATTAATTATTTAAAAAATTATAAATATCAATCAAACTAAACAATATTTATATATTGTTAACAAAGTTTGGTGTAGCAATAACTACACCCACAAGCAAAATTTAACCAAACTAAACTAAACTAAACACAACACCATAGTACCACTTATATAACTAAATAATTTTTAATTCTTAACCTTAACGAATAATAAAAAATAATATTAGGAATTATAAAAAATTAATAAATTTTGGTAATTAAAAGATTAAAAAATTTTAATAGATTAATATATAAAAGAATTTATTAAAAATATTTAAATCATTGTACAAAATATTAATATTTAAAATATTAAAATATCTTAATTTTTATTTTTTTAAGATAAAAAATTAATATCATTAGAGAAATTACTAATGTCACGCCCCAAAACTCAATTTCGAGACGCGACAGACGCCGTGCACTCGTCAGACAGGTCCCACAAATGCACAAAGCTCAGAACTTATCATATTACACTCTGATACTATCAAAATCTGAAGATCAAATCTTTAAAATTTACTCTGATATCATAAATCTCCAAGTACACTCTAGCTTACAAGATCATGATTTCTAGAATCTATATCAATCTCGAAATATCTAGCTTTCTAACTCGTCACTTCCCGTGGTTTCTCCGTCCTCGGTTTTATTTCTTGAAATGGTGGACAAGGAAAACTATGAGATAAACTCAGTAAGTAAATATGGAGTGCCCCTTATCAAACTTAAAGCATGCCAACAAGTACAATCATGAAAACAGATACAGTACGGGCATGAAATAGACGTCTCCTCTATAGGTCACGGCCAGTGTATAATCCCCACTAGCAGGGCCACGATTTGCTGGTGTATAACCCCCACTAGCTGGGTTGAACGAACCGGCTCTATCACTACATGTC